GAAAGGACACAGGCCTGTCCCGGGTGTCTCCAGGTCAGTACTGAAAGGCTGGCTCTACCAGCTACGCCTGGCAGGGGAGATGGGGGTGGCAGCTAGAACCAGCAGTAACGGGAGGGGAGTGGGAAGAATCAGGGAAATGGATGAGGAGGGGACATGCCGGCGGGGAGGGAAGAGGAAAGAAGGAAGGAAGGAGGACCCCTCAGCCAGCTCTCTTCCCTCACCCGGCTCCTGATCCATTTTAGAGCGGGGGGGTGGTGGTGAGGGGGCCCGCAGTGCGACGGTAAGACGCAGATGTGTTCTGAAGTGATCCATTCACACTCCAGGCTACGAAGATAAATTGACCCGGACCAAAGGGAGGGTGGGGGTGGGGCAGGCTGCCTCCAGAGTCCGAGGGGGGGAGTGCAGAGTAAAACGGAGTTTGGAGAGCATCCCGATTTGATGCCCAAGGCCTGGAAAGAAATGGCGGCTGGGGTATACGGGGGAGGGGGGTGACGGAGGAAAAGGTTGGGTGATGAGTATTTGCTGCAAGACAGGTTCCCAGTCTCAGTGCATCTACTGACACGCAGCCCCTGCCCCTGTGTCCTGTCTGCAGGTCTGCACCTCTGTTGTTCCCAGAGCAGTGTGACATCTGAAAGGGGGGATTAACCTGCCCAGGATCCCTGCAGGTCAGTGAATAATGGCAACATGGACAGACCACAGGCATGACTTGGGACCCCACTGACAGTTCCCTCCCTCCCGGGCTCTCCCAAGTAACACACACGGAGCTTGCTGCGCTGAAGCAGCACCGAGAAGGTGACAGACCTGTCATGGCAGGGGTGTTTCAAAGGTGGAGGAGGGGTGCAGGCGGGAGGCACACTTGGAGGGCTGGGACAGCCTTGTGTACCCCACGAAAGGGCCAGATCAGAGACCGATGTTAATGAACCTGTATTCTGCCCGGTGCCTGGGTCTCTCATGGCTCTTCTTTGCTTCCTGTTTCCCCACCTTTACCCTCAGCACAGGAAAAGGAGGGAGTCTTGACATGGAAGAACTCCGCGGAGAAAAGGAAGGGAAGCTGGAAAAGGAGGGAAAGGCAGAAGATGAAGTGGAGTCTGAAGATGAAGAAAAGTCAGACGGGGAAGAGAAGCCGGACAAGAAAGCAAAGCCAGCACGCGAGGGGAAGCTAGAGGAGGGGGCAAAGCAGGATGAGCAGGGGCAACCACAAGATGAGGGGAAGTCAGAAAATCAGGGAAAGTCTGAAGGGGAGGGCAAGCGCCAAGGCGAGGGCAAGCATGATCCCCAGGCAAAGCCAGCCAGCGAGGCGCGCGCAGCAGAAAAGCGCCCTGCTGAAGATTATGTGCCCCGGAAAGCCAAACGAAAAACAGACAGGGGGACAGACGATTCTCCCAAGAACTCCCAGGAGGACTTACAGGACAGGCATGTAAGCAGTGAGGAGATGATGAGAGAGTGTGCAGATATGACAAGGGCTCAGGAAGAGCTGAGGAAGAGACAGAAAATGGGAGGTTTTCACTGGATGCCAAGAGATGCACAGGATGCGCTAGTCCCCAGGGGCCAACGGGGAGTCAGGGGAATGAGGGGAGGGGGCAGGAGCCAGAGGGGCCTACATGACATCCCATACCTTTAATGCCTTTGGCCTTCGATTCTGGTGTCTCAGATAAGAAAGAACACTGCTGGCCCTGCTTTTCCTGGTAGATACTTGCCAGGCCTTGTGCTTTAACCTTCAGCCAAAACTCTGCTTTAGGTATCACAGTCCTTACCAGCAGCCTTTTGACCCAACTACAGTGCTCTGTGTCTTTTAGTACAGGATTTTCACCCATGTGCATGACAAATATGTTCATGGTACATTGTAACACTAAATAAACAAAACAGTTTGCTGAACTACAGATACAGTATCAGTTTGTTTTTTAAGAATGTAAATGTGCATGCATAATGCATATGTGCACAAAAAACTATGAAAATGTGTCCATTAAACAGCTATCAATGGCTGTCCATGAAAGACAAACATAAATAGGTCTCACATGTAGGCAAAAGTTAGTTGTATTACCTGACAGTTGTGGACTTCATGCTATCCCTCTCCTGTGTGTCTATCCTGGTTCTTTCCTAACATTGTCAGTGGGCACTGCTCTCCCTACCCCTGGGTCTCCCATTTTATGGTCCCTTTCTATGTGTCCCTTTTTGGTTATCTGTGGCCTTCCTTACTTCCTTCTTTTCCTGACTCAGTTATTTTTCCATTTTCCTAAAGAATATGGGCTACATATGCCACAATATGTTTAAAACTGAAGTGTGACAATACATGATAAGCAATTGAATGTTGAATTGTTTGAATGAGCTTATAAATGCAATGGCATTTAAAATGCCTGTTATTAGAACATAAAATTGATAAAGTTCACATTACCTTTGGTACTCACAGCTAAAAGAATCTATGTGTCACTACAACAGATTCCTTACTATAAAGCAATCTTGTCATCTTGAAATGGGCACAACATTTGTCTCATGACACTTCCCAGTGGGTCAGATGGCATGCTAGAGAAGTGAGCTATATTTGTGGCCTGCTCCCCACCCCCAGCAGGCATTCAAGGAGGAATAGCTACTATATCACTCCTAAGAAGTAGCAGGAGCATTTATAGAATGTGACACCTGGGAAAAAGGTCAGGTAGGGCTTCTATATGTACAGGCACAAATCCAGGCAGCAGAGAGGTAAGGAGTAAGAATATTGTGATGTCTGTCAGGCACTGTGACCTTTTCCTACTAGGCCCAGTACTACTATATAGTGACAGAGGCTTTAAGTTGCTACTCACTTCTCTAGAGTCACTGGTGAGCCACTGTTCACCCATCCTTTACCAATATACAAGTGAATAAAGCCTTATTATCCTTTGGAGTGCTGTCACCAGTTACTTGCATATATTCCCTTTTCTTGGACCTTCATATATGCCTCTTAGATTCTTTTCTCTAACAAAGTGATTGTGTATGTTTCCTTGATTTGTTTGTGTGTTTTTATAAACTTGACTGTTATATTCACTAAATTTTTTTCACTTTTTTATTTGAATTAGAAACAAGATTGTTTTACATGTCAATCCCAGTTCCCTCTCCCTCCCCTCCTCCCCTACTGCTCCCCCCCACCTAAATCCCTACCTATCACATATCCGTTCTGCTCCCCAGGGAGGATGAGGCCTTCCATAGGGGATCTTCAGAGTCTGTCATATCCTTTGGGATAGGACCTAGGCCCATCCCCATGTGTCTTGGGTCAGGGAGTATTCCTCTATGTGGAATGGGCTTCCAAAGTCCACACCTATGCTAGGGATAAGAACTGATCTACTGCAGGAGGCCCCATGGATTCCCGAGGTCTCCTCCACTGACACCCACATTCATGGGATCTAGATTAGTCCCTTGCTGGTTTCCCAGCTATCAGTCTGGGGACCAAGAGCTCCCTGTTGTTCAGGTCAGCTGTTTTTGTATATTCACTAAATTTATGTATTACAGGATACACCAGGAAAAATATCTATAATGGTAGTTATGTTGTCCTTGTGGCTTAATATGCTACATGCAGATTTTCTTTCCTAGTTTGAGTTTATTCTCAAGAAACTCTCATAGGAACTTACCTTCACACCTCAGCAGACCAATCAACATATTTGTGTTTTAAATACTTAGTAGTGATCACAGAGTCCATGAACCAGATCAATATCACCGGAGAGGTAAGTAGAAAAAAACAAAAACAAAAACAAGCGTGTTGGGCTCTGTCTCAGGTATACTGAATTAGAACATTTTTTAATTCATTAATCTAATCCTTTCATAAACACAAATTATTTTAACAAGATCTCTCTGCTTATGGGAATTTCATGAGTCTCCCCATTGCCACCTTTACATGGAATATAAGTCTGAAAGTATAAATATATGCACTAGGCAAGATACACACCTCAGATAATAGTTATCCTTCCCTAATGTAAATTAGATCTTAAAACCATACAAAAGTTTAAGACATACAAAGATTTTAAATTATATAGACTAAAATAACAAAATCAGAAGTTTCTGATTACATTGCAAGTAAGGTAAATACAAGTTTATGTGATTTATGTTTGAATATTTATGTATCCATGTGTATGTACTATGAGTTCTGATGAAGAAATTTTAAAGTTAGATTTTGAATCAAAATATGCAGAAACATGTATCAAACCTAAAGCATAGCCCATTCATTTCATATTTGTCTTTCTAGGACCTAACCCAAATACCTGACATGTATTAGGTACTTGGTAAAAATGTAAATGATGACTAAGTCAGGAACCAATCACCAATTATTATCCAAGTTTAGCCTCCAAATTTGTACCTAATTTGAACAAATAAGTTATCTACTGGGGTTTACTTATGGCCTCAAAAAGACTAGGACTAGAGAGTCATGAGCTTTGCAGACTCAACAGGAAGCATTATAACACACAGTCAAAGATGCCATTATTAAAGAATACACATTCATTAACACAAAGGAGAGATCCTAGGCTTAGTGAGTAAAACTTTTCAGCCCCAAGAAGACAAGTGAAGCAAACAACTAAGAAATTTGTGCTATTCAGTGACCCAAGGGCAGATTCTATGTATGCCATGGGAACACAGGTTCACAAAGAAAAAAAAAACATGACTGGCAGAGTGGAAATCTGGGAAATGGAATGCTGGGCTATAAAAGTAAAACACATACCTAGTGGTGATCTTGCTCTACTGAACTTAATGTGATTAACTTGGATTTTAGTGACTATGTATGCCATATTGGTTTTGTGTCTAGGCCCCATATAATTTCCAGTTTGGAAAGGCATCTAGTGCAAGTAAAAGATCTACATTAAATTCAGATCTCTTGACCATGCATATTCAGTTATATTTAGTAAATATTAATTAGAATCTATCAGGTCTTAGAAAGTATAATTAGACTACACTGTACTGGGGTTTTAGAGCAGACTAGGTACCCATGAACCACCAAATAGTGATTCCCTCTCTTGGAT